TTTAATAAATATTTTACTTTAAAATACAATTTTTTTAACCATTAAAATCCTAATTAAATTAATAATATTTTAAAATTAAATTTGCATTTTTTTTAAACAATTATTATGATTTTTATGCCATTTTTACCTTAATTAATATATTTAAGCATTAATTAATTAATTTATTGTGTAATTTACCTTTTATGCAATGCTGGTAAGTCTTGCATGATTGCCCTTTCACCCTACTGAGATGACTTTTTTTTAATAAATTTTACTTCCAATAGATGGCGGTGGTAAGGGTGGTTGGCATTTGCACGTGTATGGATAACAGTCCGTCCTCTCAGTCGATGTGGATGGATAGAATGACAACAAATTCGTTCGAGAGCGTGCAAGTTCAGTGTGTTGCTAGAAAATCCGTTGCTAAATATTACTGTCAAGGTTTATTATGTTGTCCATTAGTATGGACACCCAATCAGACATGCAAACAGGTGAGTTGTTTGTCACATTTTTAAATTCTCCCTCAAGGTTTATAGGGATTAGAAGGTTTAAATGGGGGATCTAGAGGAAATAATTTGAATTTTAGGGTTTGACCCCTGTAAAAATTCAAATTTCTCAAGGTTTAAAAGGAGTTTTTTCAGTATTGTGCTTCCCTTTTTTAAGGGGTTGTTTGCTCCAAATATCAACATTTGACTCTTAAAAACTTAAATTCTTTTTTAAGAATTGAGATATTTCGTATGAAAATTAGGGGTTTTTTGCTTAAATGAGATATTTTTGCTGAAAAAATTTAATTTGTTAAAAGATTTTTAGGGTTTAGCTTATAATTTATAGATTTTATGATGTATTTTTCGTGTTGTATTGCTTTAAATAAGGTTTTGACGGGTTGTTTGCTCTAAGTATTATAATTTGGGTCCAACTTTTTAAGGGTTTAATGCATAATTTTGGGGTTATGTTTTTTTTTTGCATAAACAAGGGGTTTTAAGGAGTTGCTTGCAATAACAAAGTAGTTAAATCTTGTCTCTAAAAACTTTAATTTTTTAAGGTTTCGAGGGGGTTTATTATATAAATTTAGAGTTTTATTATTTTTAATAGCTTAAATAGCGGTTTTAAGGTCAAATCAGAAAGAATGAAAGGTCAAAACTTTCAATCTTTCTGATTTGGAGTGGGTTTAATGCATTTTAGACGTATTTTAAATGTTATTTTTGCACGGCATATTCCATAAATAGTGGTTTATAAGGGGGGTTGCAACTAGAGAAGACATTTTTAGTGTTTTTTTAAAGGGGGTAAAGAATATTGATAAAATATTGGAAAAATATTTGAAAATTGATGGTAAATGTCGAATATAAAGGAAAAAAAGAAGACTACAAAAACATTTATCGTTGATGAGAGTTTTGCATGTTGCAAGCATTTATCTCAGTTTTATATACACAAAAGAGGGAATTGGACTTATTAATCTTTCCAATTCAATCTTGAATTTGGCCCCCCTCGTGACCTTTTGCCCTATTATTTGGATTTATGTATATATTTATATATAGCTTTTTTTAATTCCTATTTTTTCGTTTCTCCCGCCCTTTTTCTTACGAGTTCCACCCCGGGTCGTTGACTCTCTTGACCTCAAAATTGTCACAAATTGTCCATCCTATCGATTGATCCACCCACAACTTGCACAAAGAGGAAAAATTACTCTCACCGTTAACTTTTATCCTCATTTAGTATAAAAGGGGGTCATTGTGTGTTGCGTGGTGTAAGGAGCGGCCAATAAGCCTAGAATTCCTGAAGATATTCATTATTCTTCTCGAAATTCTTCTTAATTTCTCTACAAATCATTAAATATTCATCCAATTTCTTCATTTTTTATTTATAGTTTGCCTGAAAATTGCCTCAAAATGTAGAATCTAGATGTTTTAGGAGAGTCAAAGCTTATGTGCATTTAACTATAAAAATGTATAAGTAAGTGGCGATTTTCTTGTATAAAACGTTGAATAAATTAATCTAAAAAGAGTTTAAAGTACTTTTTGGGTTAAATCGTTGCTAATTTTTAATTTTTTTAGGGTTTTATCCCTCGTAAACTATTCTTCAGATCTTTAAGGTCCATCTTCAATAATAACGGATTGATTATATTTGACGCAATATTATGTAATGCATTTTAATTTATACACTTTAGGGATTCATAACCCTATAAATTTTACGTATAGGTATCAATAAATACGCAAAATTTCTACATCCTAGACTTATATATATGTATATAATGAGATCGTTTATAACTACATCAGAGTTAAAGATGTGTCTTAGTTGGTACATTTTAGGGATTTATATCCCTAAAAAACCTGTAAATTTTCTGGATAAAGCCTGGATAAAACTCAACAAATAGTTAAAAATTTACACGTTTCAATCGCATAAACGTGTATTATAGTCACGTAAACACGTTATAATTATATATCACACAAGCAATAAGCCGAGCCAGAATCTTCAGAGGGAGTGCCAAAGGAATATACCTTACAAAATTTTTTACTACCCGAGGTACCCTTCTTTACTCGGAAAAAAAACCCCATAAATCGTCCCCCTCACAGGTATAAACGTATCATTTTAAGGACATAAACATACGTTTCTACCCCCCGTCCCCCACAAACAGTGGCAGAAAAGGAGAAGAAAAACAATAAAGAGGAGTCGAAGAGATTAATTTTATCAACGTCAGATAAACAACGATCAAACACGGTAGCCATTTATAACGTCATCAATAGAAAGGGGTGGAAGGAAAACCACATCTCGCGACCAATAACTAGTGACAAGGAATGATACACAGAAGAAATTCACGCGCCATTCTCTCACACCATTTAGTCGATGCAGATGGTAGGACGTTATACAGAAAGTGAAACGACTAATGGTCTGGGATATATTTTGTTAATGGATTGTGAGTCCACCCGAAAACAACCTTCTCCTAACGAAAAATAATAGATTTGGCTACAACAAAACACCAGATTGGTTGGGGATTTTTCCCTGGTTTTTTTTTTCCTTTATTTTTTTCATGTCAAAACTACGTAAAACAATAAATTTTAAATTGAATTTTCTCTCTTATAAATTGCTTTTTTTATTTTTTATAAATTTAAAAGAAAAAATTGAAACTGTTGAAGGTTTATTTTTGAAACGTTGAGGAACTGCTTCGTTTTTTGTTGCCAAATATTTATATTTTCAGGGTTTTTTTGGGGGATTATTTTAATGCAGAAAGTTGTTCAATTAAGTTCCTTTCTTAATGCTAAATATTTATAGTTTGGGGGATTTTTTTAGGGAAAATTACGCTCATTTTTCGATACCAAATATTTTTAATTTGGAGGAATTTTTAGGGAATTTTAACGTAAAAAGTATAAAATTATCCTCATTTCTTGAAGTCAAAAATTTTTGGAAGGATATTTTTTGGGTGTTATCTTTATCATAAAAAAGGCGTTGAAATTATGTGCAATATCACGAAAATTTGGCTCAATTTAGATGTCAGTGAGTTACAGTTCTTTATTCGGAATCGATGAAGACCCTCCGCTGTTCATTTGTTGATGCCAAATACTTAATGTTTTGGAGAGATTTTTTAACGTGAAAGGACGTAAAATTACGTTGGAGTCACGAAAATTTCACGCGATTCACGTCATGCTTATGATATTTAACGTTGTAGATGATTAGTGAGTTGCCGACACGTTATCGCTAACGATTAAATTTGTGGAAAAGTCTTGTAATTACTTTCGATTTCTTTACTGACTTTATGCTTAATTAATGCCAGGATACTTCTACGTGTTTACGGTGTTATATTATTGTTTTTATACAGAAATTACCCGTAATTAAATTCTATAAAATTTTAATGATTTAAAATTAGAAAAATTAGTTTGAAAAAAATTGAATTTTTGTACCGGAGAAAACGTTAAAAATCATCATCATTTTGAAGTTTTTATGCTTTTTTTTATAATTTATTTTTATTTTTAAAGATAATTTACATCTTTATAGCGTTTAAAGCAGAAGATTTTGTCCATAATTAGCTTAAATACAATATTGGGGCATCCGGGATCGGTTCCGGTCCGGATTTTTTCATAAGTAGTTTCGTACTGATTCGGTAGATTTTCATGCTTTATTTTTAATGGAAATTTATGGAAATCGTCCAAATGTCGTATTTTTCATGCTATTTTTTTCACTTTCTTCAGGCATTTTCATTTTTTATGGAAATACTTAAAGATTCTTTTGGATTTTCTTAACTTTTTCTGTTACATTCGGCTATTGAGATAAAAGGAAGACCTAAAAGTTCAATTGACCGAAAACAGAAAACTTGGAAAACTCGGTCGACCGACTTTTGGACCACCCTTATAATCTGCAATTAGTTTAAGTATAAATGTGTTAATTTAATTGATTGGTTAATTTGTTTTTTTGGGGGGGGTGTAATAGCAATGTCAGAAATAGCGTTAATGTAATGTAAATAGTTTGTTTGAAATGTCCCATTAAAATACTACGATTTCGATGGGATATTGCAACTCAACACGTGGGCGATTTGACAAAAGGGATGCTTCAGGGAGTACTTTCTATAGATAACAGGAACCTATTTAGGTATTAAAGAGGTGAAGAAACCTGGTAAACTCCACGTTTGTGAAGTGAGAACCCGTGACTAACTATGTGTTCAGCGGTTTTAATCAGCAGTTCAGCCTATTTACAATAAACGTTTTCATTGAAAATTGCATTAATGCTGTTCCACGACTGTTTAAATGTTATTTTTATATAAGAACAAGCAGCATTATATGATGATGGTGGATGATGTAAGGATGATGCTATTTACTGATGTAAAAAAAGAAATATTAAAAATTAATTAAAATCATCACTAATTAGNAGAAAAGTAAAAGGGAGAAGATTGTGAGGTGTGGGAGGAAGAAAAAAAGGAGGAGAATGAGAAGGAGGAAGTGTAGGAAGAAGTGGAGCACCATAAGAAGGAGGAAGAAGAAGATGGGGAGGACGATAAGAAAGAGGAAGGAAAAGATGATGAGGAGTAGAGGAAGAAGAAGAGGAGGATAAAGAAAAGGAAGAGCAGGAGAATGAAGAAGAAAATAGGAGGAAGAGGACGAGGAGAAAAAAGAAGGAAAAGAAAAAGAGAAAAATGTTTTCATACATCTGACAAAAAGGAGAAACAATTTATTTTTACTTGTGACGCTGTCTTCGTCACGAAAAGGACAGATAAATACGAGGTCAAAATTGTGACGATTTTAAAAAAAAGTGGTAGAAAAATAATGACGTTGCATCTTTAAAAGGAAAAAAACTTTAAACGCGCTCTTAAAACGCAAACTTTAACAGAAGCGAAGTCACGTGAGGGGTGGGAAAACCGTTTAAAGCCGAAAGTAAAAAATAAAAAATAAAAATTTGGGTATCCGGTACACATAAACGATGAATTATTAACCGATTTCGAAATTGTATACATTGATCTAACCATCCCGGTAAAAATCTGCATATAAATCCTTGTTAAGGGATAAGA